ATCTGGCATCTAATATAGTTTCTTAACAAAAGAAGCACTAATGATTTAGCCCTACTTGCCTTTAACCAATACTCGTCATAATTTTGTCTCCATTCAATTTCATCTCTTCAAACCCTAATTGTTTGGGAGAAAAAATAAATATCTGTTTTATTGTTGTTGGCCCTGAAGAGTTTGACTAGTTCTGATTTGTTGACTAGCTTAGCTTCTTGAGCAGCCTCTTAATTTGAAGTTGGAAAGGAGCTGTTCTCTGCAACCTATGTGCTCTGAACATGCTGAGGTTCTAAAAAGAGTGCAGAGAAGACCTACAAAGATGATAAGGAATCTGGAGGCCAAAACATACAATGAATAGTTAAAGGAACCAGGTATGTTTAGCCTAACGAAGAGGAATGGCTTAGGAATGATCTGATAGCTATCTTCCAATACTTGAAGGCAATGGTGCTATTCTACCGGTTCGGCCCGGTTCTCCCAAGCCGGTAGCGCCGAAGATCAGCAGAGACCGAACCAGTTTGCTCCGACAATCTGCTGTTGGGCCCACCCGTCCGCCCGGGCTCCCATATTGACCTTGATTCCTTGCTTCCAAAGCACAGCAGATTGCCGCGCATCAGCTGTTGAAGTGACAGGGAGAGTGCAGGCTTGCAGGAGGTACGCAGGAAAGCCTCTGTGTGTGCGTGAAGTGTGTGCATGTGCACAAAGTGTGCCCACCAACCGGTGGTAAACTACTTGGAAAGTCACCACTGCTTGAAGGGCTGTCACAGTAGGAAAAGAAGGTGACACTTTATTCTCCAAAGTACCTGAGGGTAGGACAAGAAACAATGGATGGAAGCTCATCAGAGGAAGAGACAACCTGGAACTAAGGAGACATTTCCCAACAGTGGGAACAGCCTGCCTCCCAGAGTTGCAGATGCTCCATCACTGGAGTTTTCAAGAAAAGATTGGGCAACCATTTGTCCAGGATGGTCTAAGGATTCCTGCCTTGGATAAGGGATTGGATTAGAAGACTTCCAAGGCACTTCCCAGCTCTGTGTTTCTATGGTTTTAATCTGGGTCCTATAAGCTTGTCTAATGTTGTTGTTTCATTTGTAGTTGGGGAAATACAACAAGAGAAGGCTATTGTTTAAGGTTGGCCATTCTCGATCTTACGGTTGTTGATTAATTTCAAAGAAATTTATCATGACTATAAAATCTAAATAAAGTCATGCTTAGCCAAAATATTTAGTCTTTCTTCCTTTCCCTGTGTGACCCTGTTTCCCCCCCACCAACCAACCTCCGTCCACGTCACAACTGATGTGCAGTTTGGGATACGTCTCTTTCCTGGAAGTGTGTTGTTGTTTTTTTTTAGCAGAACACATCCGTTGCTATGTTTTGCATGCTGACGAGGCCAGGAAAAATGACGCTGCTCTAGGAAATTAGAAGTGGTGGGCTTCCTGCGCTGCCTTTTGGCTTCCCTTCAGATGGAAGCCGTTCCACACATGTGGCTTTCCAGACTGCTGCATGTGCAACTTGCACGGGGAACTGACAACAAGGAGCAACCCTGTGGGGATTGGCATTTAGCTCACGTTTTTGATTCTCTCGCCTTAAATGCTTCCCCGCTGAATTGGGAATGGAGCAATGCGGTTTGACAGCCAGTCTCAAACATCCATCAACTTGTTGGCTGAGCTATAGAGGGTCGTCGACAACAACGACAATCTGGTCTGCTAAATTGCTTTCTGTGCAAGTGGAAGCAGAGAGCAGATTCTGCTGGGTTTTTTGTTTGCATTAAGTATGGTTAAAAAACCAGACATGCGGTAATGGAAATATGCATTGTGACATAATAGCAAAGGGGGCGATATTTGGGAAAGAGGAAATCTTTACCATAAACAGAGCCTGTGTTACTCTCTCAGCACAAGATCTGGCCTTTCGCTTTTCTTCTATAGAACAGGGGTCTCCAACCTTGGCACCTTTAAGCCTGGAGGACTTCAACTCCCAGAATTCCTCAGCTTTGCTGGCTTGAGGAACTCTGGGAGTTGAAGTCCTCCAGGCTGAACGGTGCCAAGGTTGGAGACTCCTGCTATAGAAAGCACGACTCACAGGAAAACAGACAAGAATGAACAAAGAGTTCCAGCCACCGGTTAAAGAAGTTTGCAGAGAGACCAGGGGTTAAAAAGGGCAGCATCCAGTTTGCCCTTCTCAAAGCTATCTAACCTCCCAGCCAGGTGCAAAAACAGCTTTTGGCTTATTGTATGTTGAATGGGCCCAAAGGAAAACACGTTGCATCATTTTTTTGATTAGCAGGAATGGATAAATGACACGTCTCCAGAAGGTAATCCTTCATGTCCAGAATAGGAATACTCTTCCAATTTCTCAAAATAATTCTCTTACCAATCTGCCACATCTGGTACAGCCAAAGCTCATGCCAGATTTAGCATAAAAGTAAACATCGCAGAGGTTACGTTTTTTTGTGTTTCTTTCTTGGATGAGGTGGAAGAAATCATTCTTCCTTTCATTCAGCGGATGAAAAGGAAGTATTTCTTTCTAAGAGGAATTGCATTTGAGCTGTGGTGGTGCAGTGGTTAGAATGCAGTATTGCAGGCTAGTTCACTTCTCACTGCCAGCAGTTCAATCCTGACCGCCTCATGGTTGACTCAGCCTTCCGTCCTTCCGTGGCCAGTAAAACAAGGACCCAGATTGTTGGGGACAATATGCTGACTCTGTAAACTGCTTAGAGAGGGTTGTAAAGCACTGTGAAGTGGTATATAAGTCTAAGTGCTATTGCTATCAGCCTTCCCTCCCTTCCTCCCTCCCTTCCCAGTGATTAGAATGCAATATTGCAGGCAAACTCTGCCCACAGTCAGGGGTTTGATCCTTCCGAAGGGGCAGGGGGGGGGGGTAAAATGAAGACCCAGATTGTTGGGGACAATATGCTGACTCTGTAAACTGCTTAGAGAGGGCTGTAAAAGCACTGTGAAGGGGTATATAAGTCTACGTGCGATTCCAGAAGGAAGGAAGGAAGGAAGGAAGGAAGGAATAGTAGTGGCACAGTGGTTATAATGCAGTATTGTAGGCTAACTCTGCCCACAGCCAGGAAGTTTGATCCTCACTGGCTCAAGGTTGACTCAGCCTTCCATCCTTCTGAGGTGGGTAAAATGAGGACCCTGATTGTTGGGGACAAGAGGTTGACTCTGTAAACTGCTTAGAGAGGGCTGTAAAGCACCGTGAAGCGGTATATAAGTGCTATTGCTATTTGTAAGAGAAATCTAGCAGTTCAGAGTGTTTCTTGAGCCATGAAACCAATGCTGTATAATACCCGCAGTTTCTGGGCCATACCTGTTGATTTGTCATTCCTTCAATGGTGGTATTCTACTGGTTTGGCCTGGTTCTGCCC